GAAACACAGTCCCAGCTAGGGATACGTCCTGTATGATGAGTGCGCTGCAGTTGACGCTGAATGGCGGCCATTAAAACGCCAAACCAGATTGCGACCCACAGCACCCTAGAGGACAGAGTAGAACTGTCCCATAGAGTTTCCAAGGCTTCTGGCATGGCTAGTTAGCAGCTGTGTGTTTAAACATTGCGTCCCCAGGGCTCCCGGAATTACAGCTATTCCCGGGAATAAATTCAACTAGAAAGGCCACGGGCTAAATGTTGCAAGGTAGATAAAATCTGCAGCCAAGGACCAGGACTCGGTTTTGGATTCCCTGATAACCTCCCGTGGCGTCTGTGGGTGGTGCCAACAGTTAATGTGCTCCCTGCTAACAGAAAGGTTTAATTATGGTTGGTACCCACAGGTACGTCAAAACAAAGGCGGGGCAACAAACGTCCAAACCCGCCGTTGGAAACCTTGATGGTGCGATCGCCGTGGAGGCACCCAGTTCACCTCACGTGGAACAGCTACCGCACCCGGCAGCGCCCTGCAGCCGTGAAGATGTATTTCACCCTTGTTACTTTCTCTCCCCGCTGCTAGAAAATCAGCTGACTGGGCGTGGTCTCGTTCCCTCAATCTCGGGCTTGCAGAACGAGCTTGGAGAGTCCACTTCACTTAACTCGGATGGTATGCATCCATCCTGAAGTTGTAGCATTGTTACGATGTGAGAATATGAGTAAAACACGAAACATGACATTATCCCCGGGGCTTACGGGGAGGATGAGCGTGTCCCGGGGCAAACGCTGTCTTTGGGGAATCACAGGGGAGTCTCCTTGCTAAAGATGTGGACTCCTCAGCGCTACTTACTCGAGCCAGGAAGGGTAGGTGGCTGCCAAGGCCCTAAGCAGTCGCTGCAGCTACTGTCCTTCCCCACTGTGAACACTAGGCGGCACCCTCTTGCTGCCGCCGCCATTGCAGCGGAGTTGATGGCGACCCACGCAGCCACTGGCGGCGGCGAAGGCCTGCTCCCCGGGGGCTTCACAGCGGTCGCTTCCTGGAAGCAGAGGGCCGGGCCTCTCCGCCGAGGTGCCTCTGAACCACCAACTTTGGTTAGTAGTGAAGCCCTGTTTGCTCATCCAAGGAGGCCTAGTGTGCTTGTACTGTGTTTTGTGTGGATGTGTGTGGTGGTGTGTATTGTGTATGTGTGTGTGTGGTATGCATGTATATACTGAGGATGGGATGGTGTGTATGTATATGCTATGTATGTGCAGTGTGCCTATGTGCCTATCGTGTGGTATACATGTATGTGTTGTGGTATACATGTGTGGTGTGTCTGCTATGGATGTGTGTAGTATGGTGTGTATCCGTGCGGTGCAGATGTGTGTACTGTTCTGTGTGGTGTACATGCATGTGTGTGATATGCCTGGGTGCTGTCTGTGTGTGCGCTGTGCGGCTTGTTTTGCGTGTGGTGTGCGTGTGTGCTGCATGAATCTCACACTGGCTAGGAATTCACCCAATGGGAAGAAGGTGTCACGCTCGAGAGCCGCAGAGCGTCCTCTGGAGCAGAGCTGTTTATTCCTGCATGAACAGGTCTGGGGGTGCCCTGGCTGATGGAAGCCTACAGTAGAGGGGTCCCCGAGGACTGCCCCCAGCAGCCTGGCCTACACCACTGCCTGCTGCCTCCTGCCAGTGGGTGCCTGGGTCGTCCTCACAGGCGGGGCCTGGTTCTTGGGCCAGCCGTCCTGTTGTGCGGTGGCCCTGTAGCCAGCAAGGGGCCGAGGAGGAAAGCCCATGTGCAGACTTGTTGGTGACAAGACAAGACAGTCCAAAGGTTACTGTTAGACCAGAAAAATATTACACGTCATAAAACCCAGATTTATTCAAAAAAGTCTATTCCGAAAGTCTGGAAAGCACAAGAGATATCTGTACAGTGTTGCCCAGTGCAGACGCGACACGGAGTGCGACACAACAGCCATCTATAAACACAGCCAATCTGTCAACAAGGTGCTGAGCCCCGGTGACTGGGGGGCAGGCTGGCAGCCCCAGTGACCACCACGTCTGCCGGCTGGTGGGGAGGGACACGCGGCTTTCTCTTCCTGTTTCCCTCCTCACCCTGGGACCCTTGTATGTGAAGAGCGACAGAACTGAGCAGGGAAGAAAGGAGAGCGTGAGGGTCCTGGCAGGCCAACGGCCACAACTCCGGGCGACAGCTTGAAAAGCAACACCGTGGAGCGTGTAATACTGGCTGACACTAGGTACTAGGATCACTGAGAAACCAAACTGCCTTACACACGTCAACACAGACGACGCATGGCTCAGAACCATGCACAGACCTGACCCAGGGCCTGTGGAAGCGCGCTTCACTCACTGCCGGGGTTCTGATTTTGTGGGCTGACCTGGCCAAGCCACACACCGATGGGGTGAATCAGGCGTCCCCCAAAACAGGGAGCTGCGAGGGGGACCTGTGTGGTGGCAGCAAGGGGGCATTGGGCAGGAGAGGGCTGGCTTAGTTGTGACCGAATCTGTGGCTTTGATGACCCCATGCGGAGCCAGGAGCCTGCACTGTCCATGCCAACTGCGTCCTGAACACGGCGCCCAGGTCAGGGGAGCGGCTGCAGCAACATCTCCATTTCTGGAGTCGGCAGCCGGGAAGCCCTTCTTCTTGCTGCTTTGCTGTTTGTGCAAGTTTACTTTCCAAATCCTATCCTCATGTCGGCCGAGTTTCTGTGGAACGATTCAAGTACCGTTTTGTTCTGAGTGTGGGGAGCGCAGGCAGCTTACAGACGTTCTGGGGACTGGAGTCTGCAGGGCGCAGGGGAATGCGTGGGAAGGACGTACAGTGTTGGAGGCGGTGGTGGGTCTCGGGGCTCAGCCCCCCAGAGGCAAGGCTGCACCGACCTAACTAAACACGCCACGAGCGTGCGAGGGAAGCACACACGGAACACTCTAGGCCTGCTCTCAGCCAGACACGACCGTGGTTTCAGTGGCCTCTCCCGTCACCAGACCTCACTGGCTGACAGACCCACAGGCCGAAGCCACGGTCCCGCGTGCTTGCCTGTGCAGCCAATAAGATACGGGGACGTTGATTTCTAGAGGGCAGAACCCGTGACAGACGGATGCCTGTTGTCCACAGGTTTCCAGAGACGTGATGTCACACAGAGATGAACGGAACGGTGGTGGGTGGGGTCTGCTGGCCTTGGGATGAGCACTTCGTCCCAAGAAACCCAGGCCGCCCGTGGGCTCCACGGACGACAGTCCTCAATCTGCATCTCCCCCACTCTCTGTGGCTCTCGGAAACAGCAGGTTTTCAGCGAACAGTGAGACAGCTGGGCGGTTATTCTCTTTCCCATGAGCCGGGTACTGGAGCGAACTGAAATGGAGGAAGACAGACAAACCCCGCTGCTGTCAGGCTGACTGACTCACGGCCGCCTGGGCGTGCCGCTCCGTGGGGTTCTCAATGACTGAGTTTTGGGAGAGAATCGCCAGGCCTTGCCTCCAAGCTGCCTCGGGGTGCACACGAACCTCCAACCTTTCAATTAGCAGCTGAGTGTGTGCTAACCCTTGGCACCACCCGAATCTCCACTGAGTGAGTAAGGGCTGGTCTTTTAGGGTCAGGAAGCAGGCCAACCAGAGCAGGTGTGTGTGTTTTTGTTCTGAGTTGGGTGCCAAGAGTGAACTGGGCGCAGCACAAGGAACCCAAGACGCCGGCCCTCAGCCCGGAGCAGAGGCGCTCGCCAGCCCTGCGAGGACAGATCGTCCCGGCTTCTGCCGGCCAGCCCGGGGGTCTCTGCTGGGCCCAGCTGGGTGGGGGTGGGGCCCACAGGGGCCTGAGGGACCCGGGGCTGGCGTTGCCTGGGGCACTCACAGCAGGCGTCAGTTAACACGGCGAGTCCAGCAGGGGGTGCCACACCCCATGCACAACACACCGGAGGGCACACAGGGGCACTGAGCAGGGCAGAAGGGCAGGCCGACTTAAACACAGCGCTCCTCAGCGGACGCAGGGCACAGCTCACTGGCCAAGGGGCGCGTCTGCACCCTGCGCGCTCCTGCCCCTCGGGCTGGGGGAGGACAGAATCAGCCACAGAACGCAAGGCAGGAGCAAACCCTGCAAGTGGGATCTTTGCAGCTGCCCGAAGACCAGACAGACGGACGCACGCAAACCTGCCTGGCCTGCCCCGGCTGGCCTGGCTCCTGGCACTTAGAGCCCAGGACTGTCAAAGGCATCATGTGACCTCAGGGGTCACTCAGAGTGGGGCAGCCCCCAGAAGGAAATGAGGAAGCGGGAGGGCCCTGCTCTGGATGTCTGTGAAACGCAGCCATCGAGGCACAGGTCAGCGAGCCAGGGTGGGGCTGCCTTCCCTCACGTGCACCGTGCACCGTGCACCGAGGCAGGGACGGGTGGCGGCCTTCCTTCCCTCACGTGCATCGAGGCAGGGACGGGTGGGGCTGCCTTCCCCCACGTGCACTGAGGCAGGGACAGGGAACACAGAGCCCCCAGGGAAAATGGGGGCGACGTGGGGACAACTCTTTGGATTGTGCCGGAGGAAGCTGGGCAGCTCGTCCTCGGCTCCACCGCTCAGCCCACAGGACCCCGCACGGCTGCATCCCGCCCTTCCCAGCAAAGGTTCTGGAACGAACCAGACACTTCCTTCCTCTGCTGATAGTGCCCTTACTGTGGTCACCAGGACGCCCGGGGTGGAAGCTGACCGAGGCACCAGCTGAACGACTGGAAAACCTCTCGCGTACACACAAAAGCATCTACCAGAAGACCCAGAAGCATGGCCACGCCCTACGGGGCGTGACCATGGTGACCCCAGGGCCTGGATTCATTGGTCTTCGCGTGGACGAGGGAAGGTTGGCACAGTGAGGCTCTGGGGTCCCCGGGTCAGGCCGCCCAGGCTGAGAGAGAAGTGTGGACAGTGACGGCGGTTCAGCCTCCAAGCAGGCCCGTGCCGGCACCGAGTCTGTGCGCCGAGAGGACGCCCTGTGGGAGGGGCGCGTGGCCGGAGGCCACATCGAGCCGGCTACAACCGGGTGGATGTCAGTCTCTTCATGCCGCGGCGCTGGGCCAGGCTGGACGAGAGCACTGGCTCCAGTCTGGGTGCCTGAGGGGTCCTGTTCAGCGCGAAGTAGGTGGCGGCCATGGCCCCCTGGGGAGCAAGGAGAGAAGGGTTTGAGCGGAGTGTTCGGCTGGGGAGCCAGCCTCCTGTCCCCTCGGAGAGTGGGGACCCTCCCTCAGGAGGGCACGTGTGTGTGAATGCAGGGACGCGCAGGGACCCTTCGTCAGGAGGGTACACGTGTGAACACAGGGACCCTCCCTCAGGAGAGCATCTGTGTGTGAACGCAGGGACTTGCAGGGACCTTCCCTCAGGAGGGTACACGTGTGAACACAGGGACCCTCCCTCAGGAGGGCATGTGTGTGTGAAAGCAGGGACTTGCAGGGACCTTCCCTCGGGGGCACGTGTGTGTGAACGCAGGGACGTGCAGGGACCCTCCCTCAGGAGAGCTTCCGTGTGTGAACTCAGGGACGTGCAGGGACCCTTCCTCAGGAGGGCACACGTGTGAGCACAGGGACCCTTCTCAGGAGGGCACGTGTGTGTGAACGCAGGGACGTGCAGGGACCCTCCCTTAGGAGAGCATATATGTGAACGCAGGGACCCTCCCTCAGAGCACGTGTGTGTGAATGCAGGGATGTGCAGAGACCTTCCTTCAGGAGGGCACGTGTGTCATGCAGGATGTGCAGGGACCCTTCCTCAGGAGAGCACGTGTGTGTGAATGCAGGGACCCTCCCTCAGGAGGGCCTGCATGTGAACACGGGTGTGCCGTGTGCTGGGAGGAGCACGTGTGGGAACACAAGGTGTGCCGTGTGCTGGGAGGAGCACGTGTGTGAACACAGTGTGTCGTGTGCTGGGGGACCATTTGTGTGAATGTGGGGTGTGGTGTGTGCTGGGAGGAGCACGTGTGTGAATGTGGGTGTGCTGTGTGCTGGGAGAAGCATGCGTGTGAACGCAGGGGAGTGCTGTGCACTGGGGGCAGTGGGGATCTCAGGAGAAGTGTGTGAACGCAGGGGCATGCCGTGTGCTGGGGGAGAGGCCGGCACACACAGGCCCTTTGTAGGGAGTATGACTGCATCATCACTGTCCTGTCCGCCCGCTGTTCCACACTGAGCTCAGCACGCTGTACTCTGGGGACATGTGTTTTTAAACTAACGTGGAGTCCAAGAGAGCTAGCCACACGGTGCCCTGTGCTGTGGCTGCCAGGCCAGGTCTGCCCTTGTGGCCTTCCTGGGCCCACAGAGCAGGGTCTGTGTCCAGCTGGTGGCTGCAGCTCTCGAGTGCCGTGGACGGACGTGGATCACCCACCAGGTTTAGTCTAGAGCAGCTCCACGTCTGTGGGAAGGCTCTAGGAGGGAGCCCCCCCAGTGGGTAACTGGGGTAACTGCAGGTCTGACTGGCTGGGGACAGTTCCCGCTTCCCAGAGGAGGGCTCTCCCTAAAACACAAGTTTCCTGAGAGGCAGCTGCCAAGTCAGTCCCCTGTCAGATGGGGATCGTGACCCGGCTCGTGCATTTACCTCAGAACTGGGCCAGTGCTCACCAGCTCCCATGACCTCTTGGGATGAAGTCATAGGTACCACAAAACGTATGTCCTGTCCAAGTCTTTACAGAAGGAGCTCCCATTGTGCAGGGCCTAAGGCATCTGACTGCTAAGCAGAAGGTTGGTGGTTCAAACCCACCAGCCAGTCTATGGAAGGAAGACAGCAATCTACTTCTGTGAAGATTTACCTCCTTGGAAACCCAAAAGGGGGTCATCATGAGTCGGAATCGACGCGATGGCAGTGCTTTTTTTTTTTTTTTCCCCCTTCAGGCCTTTACAGGAAAAGTCTGCACACCTCTGGTCTAGATCCGGGGTCTCAGAACTCTGAGGGCACGATTATGTGCCGCCCCCTCTTCTCTCAGTCTCTCTCTCACACACACACAGTGACGGTGTTAACAGAGATGAGTCTTGTGTGGAACCTTGTGTGTGATAAAGTGTATAAAAATAAATGAATGTCTGGGCGACTACTGATGACCTGCCTGCAGATCCTATCAGATGAACCGTGAGGTGTGCAGACCACCACCCGCTCACAGTCTCCCATGGCTGCTGTGGGTACCTTCACTAGGTGGACATCCTGTCTGCTGAGCTGGCTCTGGGACAGGTACTCTCTGTTGACAACCCACGGGTGCTTGAGGACCTGCACAGCCGTCAGGCGCTGCTGGGGGTCCACGTGGAGCATCTGGGATACAACATCCTGTTGGAGAGTCGAGAACAGGAGACATGAAGGGGCTGGGTGAGACCGCTGAAAACGCTCGGCTCCCCTCCAGGAAAACTGGTACTCCCCCCGGTTCACAGACCCAGGTGTAACAAACGCCCCAGACGGGAACCGATTCCTAATGACGGATGCAGACTGACGTCTCTCACGGCCACCCACAAACCTCGGAACCCAGGATCTGTAGACAATACGCACAGTGACACCTGGGGGAGCCGGAATGCCACGGGCCTGTGGTTTCTCAGGTCTCGCAAGGCTGCCACCTTGGGCAGGGTGCGGTGGTACTTTTCTCTCGCTCACTGGAGCAGAAACTATTTGAGTTTTTCTCTGACAGGTTTCTGCCTTACAAAGGTCTAGCTTCTGCAGGTTTTACTGGACCCTGACTCATGTTCAACAAAGATGATTTTCCTATTTGATTGTAAAGTAATAACAACAGTTCCTAAAACTGATCAGAGCACAGGGCTCTACTTCAGTGAGGTCCACCTGCACGGTCCCTCGTGAAGACGTCCCGACTTGTCAGCCACTGTCTGTGCATGCAGGTGAAGAAGGTGACGTCCGCAGTGACCGATGATGCAGCCAAGGAACACCCATGACTAGAGTCCATGTTCCTCCCACTCAGTTTCTCTCCTCCTCTCAGCATCCCCACCCCATGTGGGAACGAAATAAAATCCTCAGAGTGTGACCCTGACCTCCACAGAACTTCCGGTTATAAAGCAGAGCTCAGAAATGCTGGGCCCTGCTCAACAGTGTGGACACAGTGGCCTAACGATGGGGTCAAGGACTGTGAGGACAGCGCGGGGCCGGGCAGTGTTCCGCTCTGTTGTACACGGGGTCGCTGTGAGTTGAAGTCGCCTCAGCGGCACCAAACAATAACACGCGTGCCGTATCATACACGTGAGGACGGCACGGGGCCGGGCAGTGTTCCGCTCTGTTGTACATGGGGTCACCGTGAGTCGGAGTCACCTCAATGGCACCAAACAATAACACGTGTGTCATATCATACACGTGAGGACAGCATGGGGCTGGGCACTGTTGCGCTGTCGTACACGGGGTCACTGTGAGTCGGAGTCGCCTCAACGGCACCTAACAATAACACGCGTGTCATATCATATACACGAGGACGATGTGGGGCCGGGCAGTATTCTGCTCTGTCGTACACGGGGTCGCTGTGAGTTGGAGTCGCCTCAACGGCACCAAACGATAACATGAGTGTCATATCATACACGTGAGGACAGCACGGGGCTGGGCACTGTTGCGCTCTGTCGTACATGGGGTCGCTGTGAGTCAGAGTCACCTCAACGGCACCTAACAATAACACGCATGTCATATCATACACATGAGGACAGTGTGGGGCCAGGTACTGTTCCACTGTCATACACGGGGTCACTGTGAGTCAGAAGTCGCCTCAACTGCACCAAACAATAACACGTGTGTCATATCATACACGTGAGGACAATGCGGGGCCGGGTAGTATTCTGCTCTGTTGTACACGGGGTCGCTGTGAGTCAGAGTCGCCTCAATGGCACCTAACAATAACACACGTGTCATATCATACATGTGAGGACGGCGTGGGACCGGGCAGTGTTCTGCTGTCATACACGGGGTCGCTGTGAGTTGGAGTCATCTTAACGGCACCTACCAACATACATATATAACACTATCATTTTTTTAATAGAGGAACCCAATGCTTTTCACGACTTGATAACATTAATTTTGGTAACTTCCTGAAACAAGTATCTCCTGGAAGTCCTACTGCTGCCAATTTCAGGTGTGAAAATGAAAGCGAGGAGAGTTTTCTCGACCTCCCTAGGATCTCAGTACGTGAAGAAAATACATTTTTATACAGAAAATGCAGGACTGGAGTTGGGCTTCATGGCGAGCACCAGATGGGAAAGGGGGCGGGGAAGGCACGGATGCACCAGGTTCGAGGGTGAAGGGACAAGAAGCCAGTTCAAGCAATGGGAGGCACTGACCCCTCTGCCCCCAACATGACCTTGATAATACACCTTACACAGGCCCTTCCTCCTCCTAACGTCTGCCTGCTCCCCGACTCCTGCTTTCTGGGATCAGCTCCAACAGACCACCAGCACCCAAGTC